CGTCATTATTACGTTATTTCAAATCTTACCTATATCACGTCCCTGTCTATTTTCAAACCAAGGTACAACCCAATCGGACTTGTAGTTTTCTAGATTTAGGACTTTGAAATATACCCCTTTTAGATAATGTCACATGACTCATGATGACGTCATCGATACGTCATCTCAGTGTTTGCCTATAATACGTCTCAGTCTACGTGCATACCACGGTACAACCATATCGGACTTGTATTGTTCTCTTGATATATAACAAAATAACAATACAACTATGCGCCTTAATTTGTGATGCCGTCACTTGACCTTTGATAACGTCATCATAACGTCCCCTTATTTTACCTATAACACATCCCTCCCTACATACCAAGTTTCAACCCAATCGGACTAGAAGTTCTCCAGATACATGATCTTAAAATATGCACGTTTAATTTGACGTCAAGCAACCCATGATGACGTCATAATGACATCACTCTCGGACGCGAGTTCACTATAGGGTATTTACCAACTGTACATTAGGTTTAGTTTATGGGGTCTTTACCAGTTGAATCGGAATCTGGGTTAGATTTATGTCAAAAGTGCCCAGCTGAATAAAACATGTGAACAGTCTTTTGAATTTTGGGGAGAAAAACTTGCAAAGAAAAAATAAAGTAAAAAAAACAACAAATCTTAACAAAATCAAAGCTTTTCTGCATCTATTTGGAAAGGCTAAAAACACACTGAAGAAATAATGATGCTTGCGTACGTTGGAAGTTTTATCATACAGTCATTGTATGATGCATGACATGGTAATAGCGTTAGGTAGTTAAGCATGCAATGGAAATTAACTACTGGAAACTATAACATACAAACAGACAATAAGGGTGCTTGGAGATTGAACTCTTCAACTCAGTCTCTATCTACTGTGTACTAACGATGCCGAGAAAATAAGAAGCCTATGATCAGCAATTTTATTTATCTATTGTGTTTTGTTTAACCAGGGTGTCCTCATCACTTCTCTCTGGGGACCTGGATTATTATGCTTTGTCGAATCATGTGACTCTGAGGCAAATCCATGTTTTCAGGCAGACAAAATAACATGAGGTCTGACCCATTTCATTGTTGTTGTCTGCGTGAATTACCTGGATCCTGCTGTCAAACAGTGGGGCATCGAGGAGGGGGGGGGGGGGCGTTGTAACGCCAATCCCTCTCCCTTCAGGTGCTGACTATTTATAGCAAAATTGGGCCAGAAATAATGAATGCTAAAGTTTCTCAATTGATACTCAAATTGCCTTAAAATGCAGGAAAAATCATCGTAGATTTCAAACTTTTCCGGGAGTAACTTTGGAACCCCTCCGAATCGCACCCGTTTTCTGAAAGTTAGATCTGCCCTGAATAACCTAAATCATACACACGTTCGTGTATCTTTAGACCAATGGTTGAAACTATACCGGTCATAGACTCATAATTACACCTGCATATATGATAGATAAAAATGGCATAACATGTTTTGAGTTAGTCCCTAGAGGTTTCGCCTGGTACACTTTATTTGGTCAAAATATGCGCAAAGAATTCATCCACTGAAGATGTTGGTTGGATATGCTCTATAAATACGCGGTCTGATAATTCAACGGGCTAAAACCTCTGTCAATTGCAGTGAATTCACGGCGCTGGTTCGGCCGGTTTCTCTTGACACATTATTGCGTTACATCAATACCATTATTTTGCTGAATTAATATTTCCTTCAAAAGTTCAAAGTTTCTTCTAGAGACAGAGTGGAGTTCAGCACCTTTGCCAAAACCCTTTAACCTGGATTTCATGCCGCTGATTTTACTTTCTCTGATCTACACTCTCTAAACAAGCAGCCATGGTGTCGTCACTGGTAAGCTTGTCTTTGTTTGTACAGGATCTTAATGTCCTCTTACCATTATTTATCTTTTGCGGGACAATATCACAATGACTTATTTTAAAATCGGTGTTAAAACCAAGTCGTGTATAAAGTGTTTACTGTTACACCTAGTGACACACTGTTGTGTTGATTTTAATCAAAAGTAACTTGACAAAATTGCCAATTTATTAGTATTTTATTTACAAAAACTTACAATCTGGTGAACACGGTGAACTGCGCCTGAAAATAGCCCCATTCACTAAGTTGAATAAGTGAAAGCATTTTTTTTCAAGGGGGAGAGTTATGCAAAATATTTTGTCTCCCTCTTGTGATTTTTAAATTCCACTGAACTTAGGCCTAAACTGGTTCGCCACAAAAAAAAAAAACAGAGTCGCGTGCGCGTGCATGGCCTACGTCGAAGATCGGGTTGTTTTGCCATCAAAGTCTCAGTTAAAATTTCAAATGTGTAAGGTTGATTATGCTGTCTTCAAATCTATACAAACATGACGGAAATATACATTTTTTCCCAAAGGGGTGGGGATGTCGGTCCTTCAATTGGGCCGCCATACCACCGGCGGAACCAGATCTAAACTTTTGGTTGGCCAAGTGGCCGGCTAGCCGTCACAAATGCAAAAAGCAAGGAGAGGGGGACCCATTTTACACCTGGGGCGATCGTTTCCCATGTTATTTTTTTTCTATTGATATGGTAAGGGGGTGATAATCATCAACTTAAAACATTTTTTCCCCATGCCATTGCGCTATACGGCCCCTCTTATTATCAACATAATTATTACATATGCATCTCGTTCTTTCAATATTAAAGACCTCACACAAACTTATTTAACAACTACATGTATATAAATACAATACCCCTTAGTTATTGAATTGTTGACAAATCAAATGATATACACGTATTACTTGAAAAACAAAGATGAACGAAGAGATGCTGCACAAAATAAAACACACACAAAATAAAAATTGAAAGTTAAACTTGAGTTTTTCATGATCCAAACAACATAGAACGGAGTTTTTTGGCATAGGTGAGCCTAAAAACGTTTGTGTCCAGCCTCGCTTTCGCTAAACTTATGCATCTTCTCAGGGATGCCTTATACTTATGGAGAATACTAACTTTGTATTGGCTATCAAGCTGAACAGATTTGCATCTGGTTTTCCATTTTCACTTTCTTCTGGTTTATTACACAAATAAGTCTTTTCAAGGGGTGGGGGGGGGGTTCAATGCATTCCTGCTTTTATCGAGAATCTGCCGGTTTATTTAAAACTATACAGGGTGGCTAAAATAACAGTAACTTAAAAAAAATAAAAAATCACAGCATACTCTCCACAATGTTGAAACTCAAACCACCTGTACCAATGGACGGAAAAACTTTTCAGAAGAAATATGGTATCAAGATCTACCAATTCGGTCCAGTAGTTTTTGCTGCAGAGCCTATTTTGTGAAGCACACATCTTTCTGGTGGGTATTAATACATAAATAATCCCTGCATCGAATTATGTTAAATTCGCGGGCACGGTTTAGTAAACTCAACAGAGAACAGAATGATTCCCGACTTTGTTTCACAAAATAGGCTCTAGAACATACACTGCAGTATACCAGTGCATGGTGAATTATGTTAAAAGAAAAATGTTAACAAGATAGCCCGATTCGGTACTGGCTGCCTTTCCATAACAATGAGAAATAGTTTCAGTACATTTTGGGGAGAATTTCATAGTATTACACAATTTTGTGGGCAGTTTGTGGCCTGCCTTTTCATAGCAATAAGGAATAGTTTCAAAACATTTTTGGGGGAAATGATATTATCTGATGCTGTGGTCTGCAATAAACCCCGGTGGATCCTTGGCCAAGGCAGCCAGTACCGAATCGGGCGATCTTGGTATCATTTTTCTTTTAACACAATTCACCATGCATTGGTATAGGTTGTTTGAGCCTCATGGTATCCGAAGTACGTAGTTCCGGTATTTGTGGGCCACTCTGATAGTATGCAATGGTATAAATGCCTCATGACTGTATTCACAGTGTGTGTGTGTGTGGGGGGGGGGGGGGGTGGAGGGGCGGGGGCGTGTTCAGTTACACATTGGGGTGGCTTCCCCCACCGCCACTGCTGTTGTTTTCCCAAGAAAAAGACTAGAAAATCGTTTGAGGGTAACAATGCAGTCCGTCAGTTTTCCTGAGCCATTCCTGTTCCGTCCCAACATGAATGTGAATTTATCACTTATTAGAGTAACTTTGAAAAAGAATGTCATTTTGAGACAAAAAATCCACTGAATGTTTGATCATATTCCATTATGTGATATACGACTGGCTTTGAAAACATTTTAATATCAGGAATGTTTTGTTTTGTATTATTTTCTCCAAATTTTGTATTGACGCAATGGTCCGAAGGTTCATTAATCCGAAGGTGTTCGAATACAGGTATAACCATTTCTTTTGTGAATTAGTGTTCCTTGCCACGAAATATAACAAGTATAACTATAATACTTTGTTAGTGAAGCAGTCCATGTTAATGACGTTTGATTCATTGTTATGAGCGTAAATCTAGGCGGTCATCGAAATAAACTTGTCTTCCTCAATTAATATTTTGGGACAAAATCTTTATTTCACTGAGAGATAAACCGATTTGCCATAAACCCAAAGGGCACGTGCATGATAAAATAGATTGTTATGTATGCCATCAAAAATAGCAGGTTACATTTCGAAAAAGTGTGTGGGATAGCTCAAGAATTAATCAACAAATATCAACCACCAAGAACCCTCCGCTCTAGTTCCAAAGGTCTTCTCAGTCCTTATCCAGTTAGCACCAAATCATACGGCCAACGTGCGTTTCAATTCACTGCTCCCAAACTATGGAATGATCTCCCTAACCATATCAAAACCTGTCCCACCTTGGATCAATTCAAACAACTTGTTAAAACTCACCTGTTCACTCGCACAAGCGCATAGTGACTTAATTGTATTATGCGCTATATAAGAACTGTTTATTATCATTATTATTATAGCTCATGCTATCTTCAAAGCCATACATATAAATTACATAACTGTAAAACTCTCAGATCGTCCAGAAGGAGTCTTCACAAAAAAATCCCCACATTTTCGAGTAAGGCCGTTTTGCAACTATTGCTAATGTTTTATTCTTCTTATTTTTATGCTGTGCAGTTGAAAAGGCGACCTACCGTACTGCTTCTTCTGATTCTGCTGATGTGGTTCTCCAATGGTCTTGGTGTCGTTCAGGAGGAACCTAAGGGATCAAGTTGCTGCGATGCTTGCTTCCAAGGTCCGGCCGGAACACCTGGCGTTCCTGGAATCCCAGGAAATCCAGGTGGATTCGGGGTTCAAGGACCTATTGGCCCCAAAGGTGACCCTGGGTTTGGCCTCGCTGGACCCAAGGGAGAAACCGGTGACCACGGACGGCAGGAAGATCAAGGCGAGCCTGGGACGCGGGGACCTCCGGGGAAGCAGGGACCTGCGGGTCGCAAGGGAGACGTTGGTGAGGGTCAGAAAGGTGACCAGGGGGAACCAGGGGTCCAGGGTCTGCCTGGTGAAAGGGGTCAAAAAGGCCAGTCAGGAGAAGCTACCCAGGTTACATCAACAGCGTCCTCTGCCATCGCATTCAGCGCTTATCGCACGTCAAGTGTATCGAGTACTGGTAGCGACACCATCATCTTTGATAACATCCAAACGAATCTGGGAGATGGGTACCATTCGCAGTCTGGTGTCTTTATATGCTCAATACCAGGTGCCTATTTTTTCACCACCAGTTTCTTGAGTTTGAACTCAGCAATACGCCCTGTGGTACACCTGATCAAAAATGGCGAAGTCATCTTTACGATATACGATTCTCATGACAATTACTACCACCAGTCCAGTAATTCCGCAATCCTTGTTTTGGCTGCAAGGGACAGAGTGTGGCTGAAGTTTGCCGGTGCCAATAGAGGCATTTTCAGTAATTCGTTGAAATATTCTTACTTTTCGGGTTTTCTACTTTATGCGTTGCAACTGTGAAGAAAAATCCCCGAGCAACAACAAATAGACGACTACCAACTTAACACTGGAACATAGACTCTGACAGTCATGTGGTTGCTAGGGCAGAGCTTCTGGCGTTGTTAGGCAAAGCTAATCCGATTACGTACTTAGACGCTAAAATAGAGAAGCGAAATCCATGCACCCCCCCCCCAAAAAAAAAAACCAAAAAAAAAAAAAACATGGCCTTTTGAACGTTGTGTTTCTCAGAAAATATGCTCAATACGATTGAAATGTTAAATTATAACGGAAGACGACATTCTAAACCTCATGTCAGTGAACAAATTTCGGTCATCTATGCCGAAACGTCAAATTACGTGTGTTTTGGCGTGGGTCTCGGTATCGACGAATGGAAGCCGGCAAAAAGGGTGATATTTATCCATTAATAACTCGTTAAGGAGGCTTTTCTCCAAATTTATACTGCATACCATAATGAACAGGAACCTAATAAATATTTGTCAGTCTTGAAAAGATTTACAGATATTGCACACGCTAGTCTACCAACTTTCAAAAGTGCACGTAGCCAAGCTTTTTTTTCCAATTTCAACGAAAAGTAATGAACACATCACAATGATTTTTAAGCACATGCTTGGATGATTATGAGGGAAGTAAACCCTGAAAGTTGCATGAAGATACGGTCTTCCAAACGGGAGAAATTTCGCCCGCCAACGTGAAAATGTGCATGTACATGTAGTTTCATTCCAAATGAAGTGTTACGTAACCTTTAGAAATCGCCCTTCGCAACCACATGACTGCTGAGTGATAAGCCAGTGCATGAATTGAGGATCGTTTCTTTATCTTCAATCCTCCCAACAAAAGACAATAGCTTCAGCTGCAGCGTCTAGTTTATTCTTTTTTTATTCTTATTATCTTCATTGTTAATTGTTAATTTTATTTTATTACCGTTTTAATTGCTGTTTTTTTTTCTCTCACTGTTTTTAAATGTGTTTATTTCTTATCACAGGACCATAATGTAAAATAGCCTTTGAGCTGATATTTTTTATCCTGTATAAAGATTTTGAAATAAATAAATAAATAAATTTAAAATTCCCCTAGCTTGCAGTAACATCAGCTGGGCCAATTCGTAACACATTGGTCTTTGAATCCTAAGGGAACCAGTAGCTTTTTGTGGTCAACAGCACTACCATTATGCGCCTATCAAAATGACACCCCTATGTTTCGACACCCCTATGTTTCGACACCCCTATGTTCGACTGCACATATTCCTATTCTTAACCCTAACCCTAACCGGGAGTAACACAATCTTTAATATGAACATGTATACGGGCTGTCGGCACGTGTCAGAACATAGGGGTGTCGGAACATAGAGCAGTCACCGTTCATTGGAAATCCTCTGCAGCTGTACATACCCAACTTAAAATAGCACCCCAATGCCTCTATATTGTAAATAAAACTGTATTCACATCTCAGTGACCTGCAATGCTTGTTTCTAATCCCAAACATTTGAATGAAAACTTTTTTTTGTCCCAAACCAATTTGAGCACAAAAAAGGTTTCCATTCGTTAAAACAAATAGGCCTATTTTTAAATTGATGTCGTCAGCAAGTTTTTGTTTGTTTGGGGTTCTGGTTTTTTTGTGGGGGGTTGTTTGAAGGGTGTAGGGTTTGATAGGTTAGGGTAGCACACGCGACGAGCTCTTCAATATAACAATTTCAGTTTAATGTCGAGTAGTGGGACAAAAAAAGGAAATATTTGGGGAAATTGTACATTTGATGTTACAAGCATGGACTTTGGCACATAGTCAGAGTATTTGTCTTTACAGTGTTTTTTTGGCTTTAGGGCCATCGCAGATTTGTCCTTTGAAAAAATATAGGTAGAATAATAAGCAATTTTAATTTTTTTTTTCTAAATGGCTGCCATTGCTTGTTATTCTACCTATATGTTTTCAAAGGACAAATCAGCGATGGCCCTATTGGAAAATATCTTTCTTAAGATGTTCTCTGACTATGTGCTAGACCATCTGCCTTACTAAAGTGGTCACGTAAGAGCTTTTTAAGACGTTGCGACAGATTTTCCATGACAACCATGTTCCCGTCTATTCGTTATTGAATCGCCATCACGCTGCAATCACAAATAGCCTGATTATATCCGTCGGTCTGTTGAAGGACAAGAATTAAATAGAAAGATTGACGACCCGTTCGCGGGGAATCAATGAAAAAAAATATGGTGCGAACCCTGCCCCCTCAAAAAAAAAACTTACACAAAAACTGGTTTAGAAGCCTTTGTACAAAGCCCTCACGTTGTTTACGGTTGTAATAAAAACGGCAGAGTTCATTTACCCTTTCTGATTTAAAAGCAAAAATCACTCAACGAGCATTGCCTAATGGAGACGAGCACGCAATGTGTCGGTTGCCAAACAACTGGCGAATGAATTTCATCAAATTACCTTCACGAAAGAAGCATTCAGAGCCTTTCTATTACATTTGAGAAGCAGATCTTTGAAACGGTACGTGCTACAAAATGCGTATACCTTGGTGCCAGAATATGATTCTCTGACATTATTTCATTCGATGATTTTATTTAAGTTGTGCAGAAAACTTGTAATGAATGTTCTTTGTAATTTTGTCCTGTGATTAGTTAAGGTATTTTTTTTTTGCTCTTCTCCCCCTCATATCTTTGATTGGTAATAATTTCGTGCCGTTAAATTTATATTAATCCTAACTGGTGATTGTGCGTTTGGATTTTTAAAATAGAAATTCGAAAATAAAGTTAAAATGTGAAACTTCTGCTATTCAATTTTCATGCTCCGTAATTCCGATCAGTTAATTTTGTTCACAATAATTAATGCATGTGAACAGTCAACTTGATTGTTTAAATACTGACGATTAATCGTTTATCACCTTCGGAAAAACCCAACAAATCAAAATTAAAATCAGTTATGCAGATGCAATAAAGATTGTATTACGTCGTTGGAAACAGTTCATGTGACACTGGCACCGTCTACGGCTCCTTCAATCATTACACTTGCCAGTATGCATACTTAATTTTTATTCATGTTGATTAACAGGTTACGTTTTGTTCCCATTCTAAGCAATACATGTGCATGTGACTCTCTTTGTGCAGCTGATTTTTAGTGTGCATCTGTAGCACCACATATCAAATGCATGGATGCGTTGTGTGATTTCCTTTATCAAATTCCAGGATTAGCATCCAAAACAAATTAATGAGAACCCTAAGGAGTGCAGGAGCTTTGGCTTATAGTCATTTGCTTTCAGTACAATTCTGCAATTAGTCTGATTTTTAGGGTTGGGAACCAAAACTGCTTGCAACCTCAATTAACTTCTCAAGTTGTATCTGGTTGAAAGCTTTTGGTGTAATCAATAAAGCACCTTGAAGTCTTCTGGTTTTTCTCTATTATTCTCTGTGAAATCATTCCTAGCTGAAATATGACATCTGTCGTACCCTCACCTTTTCTAATTCCTATTTTTTTGTGTCTCATCTAGATGTCTGTCCATTATTGGAGTAATTCTATCATAAATTATATGCAGTAGCAATTTTGGAGCATGTGAAATTAAGCTTATGGTGCGATGAGGACTACATTTGGTGGCTTTGCTGACCCTCGTTGTGGGTATGAAAGTACTGACCCCAAAAATCACCTGGTAGGCTCTATCTCGCCATTTCTGTTGATGCAGTTCACAAGCTGTGTGGAGCTTTCAAATCCTTCTCACAAAGGAATCAGAGGAATTTTGCTGGTAACTTATCTTCACCTGAGGCTTTTTCTTTGGCTAACTACCTCCTTGCATCTTCAAATTCGTCGACAATAATTAATTATTTCATGCCAATATGTCACTATTTATAAGATGGATCAGAAAGGTTTTCTGCTTATGGCAACTCTATGAAATTCGACCCTGAATATACAAGCTACTTCAATATGTTGTTTTTTCCTCCTCCAATAACGATGACATAATGACAGAGAGGACTATTCAATGCATTTTCAATTCAGTGTAAAGATTATATGGGAGGATATTATCGCAAAGGCTGAAAAAAACATGAATTAGGCACGCAGCCTCTATAAATGATTGAATCAACTTGTTACTGTCCGTACAAACGTTGACTTTAAAAAAAAAAAATTCACCGACAACGGAAATCGCAAAGATTACAAACGACGTTGCCATGACGCTGTCAATGACGTGTTGTTTTTCAAGGTTATTTTCCAGTAAAACGCGACTTTACTCAGTAGTAAAAATACAGCGGTTGCATGGTAGTTATCAATAATTTTTCTAATAATTTTTTCTACAAAATACTGATTTCTTTTTGTTAAAATTTCTCGCCCTGAAAAATAATTAAGTATAAAAAGGAAGAGAACAAAGGTCGGCTATTGTGATGATAACTTGCGTCAGTAACTGCGCACCATAGGACTATGTGAAACTCTATGCTGATTTATACCATTAGATATAAGACTGATGTCATCATGAGAGTGCCATACTGAAGCAGCGTATATCATAACACATACACGTCGTAGAAACAGCTTCGAACGAAAGAGAGAAGTCATCAGCATGAACATTATGAGTGCATTATAACAGATGGGAAATCAAAAAGTGCGGGAGTGTACGGATAGGATCGATGGAGCCTTATGAAAACAGTCATGCAAACTATACAGGCGCAGGCGGAGACGTGCTGGCTTTCTCTCCAGTCATTGAAGCCGTTGCTCGGGTCTTGCTGGTGGTTATAGTCGGTCTGAACTCGCTGGGGTACTCCTGGATCATTATCACCACGGTCAGGCACGTCCAGCTCCGCGCCGTGTCCAACTTCTTCCTGGTGAATCTGTGCGTCGGGGAGCTGCTGTTTAGCACGGTCCTGGTGCCCCTGGCTTTCGCGGTGGTGCTACTCGGTAACAGTGACGCTAGAGCTGCCGAGTCGAATGCCGGTATCGTCTTCATCTGTGTCTTTGTACTATCTGGGTTCTTCCTGAGTGCATCACTCTGGGTGGCCGACAAAAACTTGAAGCTGTTCACACCGTTTCTGTACCCGCGTTTGGCTACCTTACGCTACTTTGCGATTTCTTTGCTGATTTCATGGGGTACGGCGCTTCTAGTTGCTTTGTTGGTGTTTGTCCGACTTGTCACCA